TGCATTCGATTCCAGGGTTGTGGAAGTGCGGAATCGTTCCAACTCTGGTGTGGCAACTCCTCAACACTGGTGATAGTCACCAAGGCACTCAGTTCAGTGCGAATGCTGTCCTCACAGCCCATCCAAAGCTGTTATTACTGTAACAGACTCCAGTACGACGAAGTAGTTGAATTCGGAAGCCCGTTGTGCAGATTTGTACCTTGCATTGTTTCCGGTATTTTTTATTTCTTTTGTATTTTATAATGGACAACTCTTCTTTGTTAAGAGGGTAACAAGCGTTGTAATCTCGGTATTGTTGCCAAACCTGAAGGTTTTATCATCGGTGCACTTTTAAATAAATATATGCCACAGCCGCAGCTCAGCGATGAGCTCTTACACTGCGACTTAGGTGTTTCGTAAGTATTCATTTTGATTGCGCGATAATGATGTTTGTCTTCTGTTAGAATTAAAAAAAACCAAAACAATATTCAACATGATGGATAATTTTGGACACCCGCAGCATGTGTGATCTGAGCATTTGTTCTTTTCATCTGAAGTGTGTCTCTTTTGCTTACTACCTATAGAGTATACGATGTTGTGGACGGAAAAGATGCTGCGACCGACTCCGTGCAATAAAAACATTCTGTTTATTCTCATGTCGTTGAGCTCGTGGCAACGAGTATGAGTAGCATTGTCATCTTTGGCGATGCCAAGGCTGAACCGATAGACTCCCGCAGAGCTATCGCCATCAGCTCTGCACTGTGAGGAATGGCACGATTTTGTTGAAGTGATTGCGGCTCCAGAGAGGTGTCGTTGCTGTTGACATGTACCGCAAGCAGGATGACATACTAGAGAGCAGGAAAGAGCGTTCGGAAGCCGTGCATGGTAGTCGACGCCGAGGTCAGGAAATGAGGCAGCAGACGGGGGAAATCGACCCTGTCATGCTTTCAGTCCGGCTCGATCAGTTTGGAGTGTACAGCCTCGGACTGAAAAGGGGATGCTGGCCGACTGCGGGGCCGATGCAACATCTCCTAAGATGAGGAACCGAACTGAGAGCGAATGCCTGACGGGGCAACGATGAGGAGACCCTGGTCGGCTAGCAACATGCCTTGTGAACAGTGTGAAAATGTCGATGAATATTCACTTGCCGAGCCGGTGGGGCAAGCAAGGTGGTCGCAGCCCATTGCTGGGAGATGCCGGCGCTAGATGCGACTGAGCAGAGGCGGTTGCGGAGGCGCTGCAGATGTGGAGGCTGAGAAAGTTGAATATGTGCCTACTGCATTTTCGTCCGAAAAGGCAGAGCCGTTGCCGTGCCCTTGGCCACGAAGAACATTCCCCTGGATAGCAGGTGCTCGGAGTCAATCATCATGTGCAGGTCACCGATTTGTAGCACTTTCGATCTTGAGGACGGAAGAGACGGTGCAACAGACTCCGAGTTTAACTGTGAAAACATTCTCTTTATTCTCGTACCGTCAAGCTCGTTCCGACGAGTAGCTTGCTTTTATAGACTGCAGTCATTAGCATTATAGTTGATCTAAGTATTTTGCAACACTATTAATACGGCAGATTGGGCGAGTTGGTACAGCATAATTACGAACCAGCGCACAGGTAGACAGTTACTCAAAATCCAAATACACAAAAATATACACTCGCACAGCGCTGATGTGAGTTTTTTGTGTTTGAATTTTGGGTAACTGTCTACCTGTGCACTGGTTCGTAATATTGCAACACTGCCATCTTTAGGCGGTGTGGAGGCTGAACCGATGGACCACCAGAGGCCCATATCTGTATCTGTTTCATATACTGAATGCCTTTTGCACGGCTCTGTGTTTACCTTTGTCTTCCAGATTTTTACTGCTCACTTGTTTTTGTAATTTTATTTAGAGGATACTACAGGCCATTGAAGGCCCAAGTAGGAGTGGGGTACAACATATGCATTCACACACCTACAACAACAAACAAATAACACGACATTAAGAGGTTTACAACAACTAACCAGCAAATATACAGGATATATATATTTAAAGCATGTGGGGGGGGGGGGGGGGGGGGCAGCACAGCACGCATCAAGCAGCATGTAATTCAATCATTTGTAATAATAGATGTGAAATTTAAAACTCATATTTAGGATTGAACATTATCAAACAAATGTGAATTTAATTAAGCTATAAATTTTATATAGACTGTTACTTTTTATACAATTTTGTCTAGATTTGTCAGGATACAATCTGCAAGTACACATAAAGTAACTGGAAAGTTGAAAGAAGCAAATTAGAGATTGCAAAACCTACTTCCCAAAGTATTTACGTGATAGTGCAGCTGAATTAAGGCTCCTTTTTCAGTTTTTTTTATTTGAAACACCTTAAAAATACATTGTTTTCTAAGATTTTTTATTATTATGTTTGGAAAATTAAGTTACCGATTGTGTTCAGTTTATCCTAAACTATTTATATGAAATGCCAGAGTGCTTTTGTGCATAACAGTGGCTAGATAAGGTTTTTATAATTTCTGATAAAACAAACTGACTAGTTTCTCTTTAGTGACCGTTTCGCCAAGGTGACAGCAGAACAAGTAACGGATCCCGACGTCAAACTGCAGGAATTTGAGATATATGTTTTCTTAGCGAATGCACGCCACTGTTGTGACATATTTGAATATCCTTATCGCTTGCTTGGGCTCAGCGGGTAATGCAGGTCGGCACTAGCGTGAGTATAGGTTGTTTGCACATGACGTCAATCCGCCATTTTGTTGTTTGTTTGTTTTTTCAAACAAATTTACTACATTGAAGGATTACATCGTAACCGGTTGAAATGATGTCAGCGGTGCTTACGCATTTGAGAAGGCATGCAAATCCTTTAAATCCTCAAGTTTGGCACACGCCAGACAGATCGCAACAACAAAATGGTGGACGAAATTACGTCAGTGAAAACATCCTATAAAGGCTGAACTGCATAAAGCGATTTAGCGAGCGACGGCGACAGCGACGTATTACGAAGATTTCTTTCTATCGCTCGTCGCGTCACTCGGTTTTTGGATTTCTAGAAGACATCGTTCCGCTTTCATGCGGCTTACGTCGTCGCGCGAGTGACCGAGCGTCAGCGAAGCGGGTCGCCGTCGCTGTTCTCGTCGCTCGCAAAATCGTTTACATTCGGTTTATACTTCACGCTGTCAATAATATCGACTCGACCGGGCATAATTTCATTTCCACGGGAGCGCGTGTAAATCAAACCCTAAACCAAGACGGGGGCTGCAGCCAGCAGCTTTGAGAGCGTCATACAATGGATTATAGTTCGACAGAAGCAAGCACACACTTCGCTAGCGCATTCCAGCCTTGAGCGCTCGAACTTCCGAAAACGAAACCAGATTTTGCTACATTTTGGCTAGCTCGAAACATTTTTTTTTAAATACAGGGTGTCTTTTAGCTATAATCTAGACTAAGAGAAATGTGTACCTTCCCAAATTATATTTATGTCGCCGTACTATGTAAGTAATAATTGTGTAATATCGTTACGTTCATATAAAATAGGGGGGGTGTCACCGGACCTTCGTCTGAAACAAAAAGTCTGCTATATATACCGAGCGGGTTTCTATTACAATTGAGTAGGAGTGTCGGGTCGTTAGTGCATCTGTTCGTTGTTTGTGTATGTATATGCTTGTATGTTGATCTTGTGGTATGTGCTGAGATGTATGTGTTGGTATGCTGCCGTCCGTGTTCGAGCGTGTCACTTCCACAAATGCCGAAATGTCTTTCATTTTTGTAGTTTTCCGCATACTCACTAGATGGCGCAAGCAGCCGCCCAATTTTATTTTAGCTTTGTTTGTACGTAGTCCATTTAGTGTGTAAGGAACTACACCACCATAGCTACAGTCTAGTAGAAAAGTAACCGGGTGTTTAAATGGCGCATAGCGCCGGCTTTAGTTCATCTTCGTGCGCTGGCCGTTTCGGTAGCAGATTCGTACCCGGAAAGCCGCAAAATTTGCGTACACACGAGATATGAGTGGATACGTCGAAACGTCGCGTACAACTTTGCTCGCGGTAAAGAGGTGAGCGGGACGTCGGTAACGCCGGTCCGGTCGGTGTCGGAGCTATTCGTCGTCGCTCACGGCAAACGGGCTTTTTCAATAAAGTTCATGTCTGTGCTCGCGAAAAGATAACTCCTGTGGAAATTACGCGGCGTCGGTGACAATGCAACCGGCTTGAGGCCTCGGCGATCGGCTGAACCGCCACGCGAACGGGACCTGCTTGATGGGGAAACACGCTGCTGGATGCAGTCGATGGTCGCTCCCACTGTCGCGTAATCGCCATAATGGATACGGCGTCGGCGCTTGGGGGTGAATGCCTGCGGTACTTCAGCACGTATGGACGATTACGAACGAACACGTGCAAACTACGCTTTCGCTGCGGCGAAGAGCCGTGTAAAGCGCTGGGCCTCGCCCGTAGAACCCGTCTTACGTCAAACGGCCGCCATTGTGAAAAAACACCCCTAGACGTGTGACCGCAGAACGAAGTACACGTTCAAAGATGTTCATTTTACACGAGACCTCGGGTGCAAACGAAATACACCGAGCCTCGCGTGTAAAACCAACACCATTTGGGGAGTCCGCCCTGGGACAACGGTTTACACGTCCAGGGGTGTACTTTTTCGCTGTGTGTGCACCCCAAATAAAGGACAACGAGAGATGGCGTGCAGTTTCCTTGCATTAGCAGCGATCACCGGCCAGACAAGCGGATCGATGAACGAAGCTCGTGGGAGCTTTCTTCATCTATCAACTCCAGCATGCAGGAATTCGCGGCTCATCGCTCCAGTGAGGCTCCCAACGGCTGATCTCTCGTCGAGCGTCCTATGCGAGAATGTTTAGCGCTCCAGCCGGTGTTACATTGAGATATAGCTCCCGGTGCCGCCCCATTTTTCTAAACTTAAACAAACCATCTGCAATTCATCGTCCGCCTTTTTTTTCTTCATAAATGTGTCAGACCAAGGTGGTGTGACGGCGCCCCTAGGAAGCTGGGTATACCGTACCGCTTGACGACGGTGGCAAGGAATCCCCCTCCGATGCCCATGGACTCAGGGAGCACCACCCCCATGCAGAGGAGCGTGGCCACGGCCGCGTCGGCCAGGGTGCCGCCCTTCTGTCGGATCCTCCTGCACAAGGGAAATTAGAGAAGTGTCCGACTGGATCCACATCGAAATATAAATATAAAAACAAAATAATGGGGAGGGAGTTCAAAATCCAAGCTGCCTTCATGTTCGCTTTGCCTTTTGTGGTACCAACTGTAAAGTAGCGTAGATGCTCCGCCCAAGTCATAATGCGCCCCCTCTCGGAAAAACGTTGTGTCATTTGCTGCGCGCCATGAAGACATGGGCAACATGGGTTGTCTGCGCGAGCGAAGCAGCGGATTGCTCATTGAGCGGGTCTACGTCGTCGCCAGGCGAGGCACGGCTTTGTAGGAAAGAACTGGAAGTTTCGTGTCGCCGAGAATGACTACAGGACACTATTGTAACTACGGCAGATGGCGCCTTTGTACGAAATAGTAGCAGGACGAGACAGTCAATGCTTAGTCGAATTATCATGCAACCAATCGCATCGGCGACACTTGACAAGAACGCCACGTTTTACGTACGAATAAATACTTCTTAGAGGGTGTAATTATGTGGCACCCTTTCTTTCTTAAAGCCGGCAAGGAAGCGGGCGAAGCGCCGTGAAGCAGCACGGCGGTCGCTCCACCAAAGCCTCTTCACGTTGCCCCGCAGTAACGGCCGCGAAGAAACGCTTGAACAATCTGGCGACGTGATTTGAGTAAAGAACGGGGAGCGAACCCACGAAGTCATATTCACTGACGAAGCGTGTCGACCGTAATATCGGGAGCTCCTATAAGCCTATTCGCTTGACCAAGCGGGTATATCCACTGAACGCTTCTCCTTGTTTGGCAGGACGCTTCTCCTCATGCGTTAGGCATAACCGTTTCGCTAATTTCCGGATCATGATACTCCATCGCACTTCGGAGAGGACAGTGGAGGTGATCGTCTCGCCTTCCACGGCGTCCTGGCACCAGCTGGGGGAGCCCGCAGGCACGGTCCTCCGGCGTTTGATGTCGGGGGTAGCGTTAGGCCTAACCTAATCTCGACCGTGTTGGAGTCAAAAATTAACAAATTCTGCGGGGTCGTAGCCCACCTGGGCAAATTTAATGTCGATCGATGCGGCGTGCCTCGTCGCATCTGGCAGTGTGCCGCACGGGTCAGTTACGGTGGCGCTTACCGTCGGGGCGCTTGCGGACGCGTCCGTACCGCTCGGTGGCTCGAGGGCAAAACGACAAACTTATTGCCCAACAACATCTTTTTTATCGAACGGCCATTTTTCACCGCAACCGATAGTTCAACAGAACAGCAAACCCTTCCTGATCTATCTCCGGCAAGATGGAGGTCTTGCTAAAGACATGGATAACAGATTATAGAAGGTTTTCAGCTTGGGCTAGTTGACTGAACATGATTATAGGGTTAAAAAAGGAGGCACCAGTAGAAGAGACACACATCACAGAGCGCACCACACAACGCAAAGCGAGCGCTCTGTTGTGTGTGTCTCTTCTACTGGTCACTGGTTTTTTAGCGCTTTTAACCCCTAAACATAGTTAAGGACGCGTGATTCTTTCGCGTAGCGTTTTGTAGACCTTTGAAGCGCTTATCACCCGAGCGAAATATTTTGAGTCAGTGACCTGTGGACGCAAGCACAGCGTCTGATACACCGTGAAACGGAGCGCATGGTTAGAAGGCGTCTCCTAGCCCAGTAAACAAACATGCCAGCGCACAGAGAGCGATTTTTGGTTCAGGCCGATACGACAAGAAAATGGCATTTAAACTTGGTGCCTCTTAAAGGTATTCATGAAGTCAAGCCACCGACATGACAAAATTGTGGTAATACCATCTTGGACGACGGCCAATTGATGCTTCCCAACATCGCTCGAGAGACTTCGTACAGTCTCTCGAGCCACAGCCGAAAGAGGAAGCAATAGCATGAAAGAAATCACGGACGAGCATGCACACGTGACATTAACGAATAAAAATAAGCCACAAACGTTTTATAGCGGAAAGCCATTTTTGGAAGCCGAAAGCGCTTTACCTAACCGAAAACGTCGTCGTCGTTCTTGAACTCGTCGCTGAGTTTTCTGCATATCCTCTTCTGCAGCGTCCCGACGTCCTTCGAGGACACTCGAATTTTACAAACACACGAAAGGACACCCAGAGGAAAACGATTGAATATTCCGAGTCGGTGCAGCCATGCGGTTTCAAATTCCGAGCCTAATGGCGTCGGCAACGCGACGACAGTCGACCTCTGGGTCGAGGCAGTTATCAATAGCCCGATATGGACTAGTTGGTACATCTCTACCTTTTCACAAAAGCGCCACAAGGAAGGGTCGGAAAGTAAGAGACACAACACATGCGTCGCTCTCAATTCACTGTTTATTCAAGCGACACAAACTCTTTATACACTCGATCGGGCTTCTCAAGGAGGAATTCAAATTTTTTATCGGTTAAATGATCTGTCGGGGCACTCATGCATCTGTCACCGCCTTCCATTCCAATGTTGAATGACAGATACAGTTCTCCCGAGATTTTGTTTCTTAACTTCACCAAAATGTTGTTTTTCAGTTCTTGTGCCTTGTCAATGAGATTCAGTGACAGGGCACGAGATCACTCGCTGTCAGTAAGGAATTTCCTCTCGGGCAATTTTCTATTGTGATAGATGCACTTGTGCCGCTGAACTGAAGAAAAGAAATTCTTGTAAAGTTAAGAAACAACATCTCGAGAGAATTGCATCAGTCACTCAGCTTCGGAGTGCAAGGGGGTGACGCATGCATGAGTGCCCCGACCGTTCGTTGAACGGATAAAAACTATGAAATCCTGCTTGATGAAGCCCAATCGAGAGTATATATAGTTTGTGTTGCTTGAATAAAGGGGTATTCACACGAGGGAGAAATCCCGGGGATTTCTCCCCGGCACGCGCGCATCACGAGATGAAAACGCGAGGCTTTTGCACATCGCAAAGCCTGACGTTTCCGTCGTGGGATGCGCGTGCCGGGGAGAAATCTCCGGGATTTCTCCCTCGTGTAAATACCCCTTAAGGAGTCAGTCGAACGCGACGCTTGTGTTGTGTCTTTTACTTTCCGTCCCTGCCTTGTGGCGCTTTTGTCAAAACAAGCGGTAGTTTCGTTTCTTTCGTTGTAGACAAACTTGCAATCCCAATCTCGGACATAAATCGAATATATCGCTCGGTTTTTATTACAAAAACGCAAAATTATACAAAATGGTAAATTTAAAATTATTGTTATCAACATTTTAAGTACAGCACTGCGATTACTACGACGTTCGGACTGGCAACTTTTTGGAAATAAAGGGGAGCAGAAAAGTGGGGTAACACAAAGAAAAGCCTCAGGAGAAGCCCAACTTCCAAGATTGCCCGCTCCTTCTGACGTCAGTGACGTCATGCCTCCAAGAGGTACAGCCTTGCCTCTAGATGGTGTTGCCTCCATCCACTCACCCTCCTGCGACGCCCTCCCATTACCTTCGTCCCCACCTCCCCTGCGGCAGCCGTCGAAATACCCAGGTGGTCCCGCATATCGGACACGCACCCTCGCCTCCCAACTGCCGCCGCACAGGTTCCGATCTTGTGTTTCTCCTCTACAGAACTGTTCGCGCACGTGTGTGGTGGAAGAAGCAAAACTAAAACAAAATTGGAAGCTGTTACGAGTTACTGCGGGTGTGTTCACCCGCAGTGTGTTCACCCGCAGTAGGTGGCACACTGTGTGGTCGTTTGCATTCTTCTTTTAGGAACTTTCACGAGTTATAAATTTGTCGGTTCTATGCTAACGAGAAGCACAATGAGGAAGTCTAGTAATGCCTGGTCCTTCGGCTGATGAATGCATATTCTCAAATTCCCGCGATTGTAGGTGGCACTGTCCTTTAAAGGGACACTGACAGGGTAATTATGCTCGCCGAGGTTTTTGTTGTACGTGACATATGAGAGCTCAGCTACCCAGAACAGAATTTGCGGCTCGAAATTCGGTTTCTTTCCGCCCGAAAACCGCCGATCAAGAACTGGTCGGTTCGAGTCTCGCTCACTCTCTTTTTCGCGGTCACGGGCCGTTTTCTAAGGTATCGATGCGACCACCAAATTTAATCAAAGTCGTGGGTCACTGAAGGCACACACTCAATATTAAAAATAGAAAAAAATATGAAACCCATTTTTTGTGGCTTCTAAAAAGCTGTAAATACGTTGATTGAAAAAAAAAAGTTCCACAGAGAACCGGAAGCATTCTGTGCGTTCGTCGTTTCGCGTATGGTGGGACTCGCGGGGACGGCGATGGCAGCGGACGGCGGGCGTGGGACCTCTATTTCAGAACTGTCGTTCGCGGTACCGGCGAATTCTGTCTACCGTTAAAAGAGAAATGTGGGACTGATCAAAAGAATTGGTATTCATCCCGTACGACACGCCCGGCCACCAAGCCGATTTGCACGAAGACGTCGCCGAGCCGTCGCTCCCTTCTCGTGGCTGAAGACATCGCTCGCGCAAACGTCAAGCACGACGTGTCTACTTCGAGTTGAATATGCACGCGTACGATTTCTTTACTAGGTGCGAATGTCCCCAAAGCGTGGTGCTTCCCGACCTCGACCCGGGAGTGCTTTTGCTAGAGAAAAATCGACAGCAAACTTTCCAACTTACAGTTTGCCGGCTGAATTGTTACTAAGGAAAGAGATCCGCCAGACAAGTGATGCCCCAGTAGCTCAGTGGGAAAGACGTCCGGTTCAGACGCGGTAGGACCTGGTTCGATCCCCCGTGAAACTTTATTTTTTTTTTTCAAACATTTTCCGATGTTTACATATCTTTTTCTTTTTTTTTTACAATCATCACTGAAGAAACAAACAAAAAAAATAACACACAAATGTTGTGGACGATACTTTGCTGAATTAAATGGTATGGAATTTCCGTTTTGACACCTGCGAACTCAATGTAATCACTTTCCACAAAATGCAAGGAGCATATAAATCAGGCATCGTCCGCTTTCCGAGGTGCCCGTATATGTTCTACAGGAATTGCAGCCAGCCATTGGTCCCGATCCCGTTGATCTTTCGGAAACTCTGTCGCACAA